CGAAGGAAAAGAATGCCCGAAGAAGAATCCATCTACGAAGTCGGTGGCCTCTCCCAAGAAGAGTTCAAAAATGTAATAATTGGAAGCCATAGATAGTTTATTGGGTGAGGTCGAACGGTCTTCCTGTGGCCATTGTCAACTGGCCGACTGAACAGCTTCAGAAGCACACTAAAGATTTTCGCAGATTTTCATGCAATGAAGAGACTGTTGACGCAATCCACAGTCAAGAAGGGGATGCGCTGTAATCATAAAGGAGAATGATTGACAAACACAATGAGGAAGAAAGCCGGGGGTTGGAGGGGGGGGGGGGGAAGGGGGGGGAAGGGTCCATGACTCCCTGTCCAGGCGCGCCACATGGGTTACCTACGGCCCTGATCCGCTGATTCAATTAGCCCTTTGTTTCCCTAGTTGATTCGGGGTTATGTACGAGAGGTGTTCAAAAAGTAATGTCAGTACCTCAAGAATTCCTCGAGGACTTACTGTCAAGCACTTGTAAATTTATTATTGTATTTTCTCTTTGCGGAGTATCATTTTACTGAAACATGAGGCTAGCAGGATTAATATTGAAGTTTTCATAGTTTTTTAACGAGACCTTGGCTTTGACCTCTGACCTGAAATGGTTGATTTTTTCACGAACGATTCTCCTCGGTAAATATGCAGCAGCCATGGGAAAATCGATGGAACTTCTTCGGAAAGTGTCTCCAGAGGGAGAAGTGTCCCCATCACCGCATCCAAGTCCTCTTTGATTTCGCTTCCAAACAGTTACAGATGCCACCTTTCAAGCATGTAAAATTTAACAGATTCACCGAGGAGAATCGTTCTGGACGTCCGGTGGCAGCAGTGAACCAGCAGTCTGCAGCAAGATGCCGTGTTCTAGCACTAAGTGATCCCCGAACAACTGTCTGCCTTTTGATTTCGGAACTCTCTCTATCTACTGGGAGCGCTCACATGTTCACAGACTAGGTACCTCATCTCGGTGATCAAAAAGAGTCCAAGCGGATGCAGATAAGGAGGGATATCAATGATATGTTTGGCCCCACTGATGCAAAACGGTTGAAGAATAAATTGTCATGGATTATGAAACTTGAATCAACTTCTCGACCCAGTCAAATAAGCGCAACAACGTGTTTTGGCTGCGTGAAGATCCCCGATAATCTGTTCTCAGTTAAGGATTTCGCACAAAGACATTAATTTTCATCATTTGTTTCAATTATTTGGTAGGCCAGTGGTAATTGATATAGTGCCTGAGAGTGCTACCGTAACTGGAGTAAATTATTTTGGTACTGTCTTCCCAAAACTTTTGGAAAATAATTAGGAAGCCGTCCCAGAAGACAGGACCTTCCCGAGTGCGGCTACGTCGTGACAAAGTTTTTTTTTTTCCAACAGAGAACGAGTGATTCAAGCGATTTTGGAGAAAGAGAAGGTTCCGTCTTCCCCCGTCCGCCCTTTTCTCCTCATTTCTTCTGGACTGCCGGCTCTTGCCAGTGTGAGGCGTACAAGTCGTGCAGGAGATTTCGCAAGTTATACCACGAAGTGCCCATGTAGCAGCTATCGAAAACTAACTGGAAATATCGGAGAAGTGTATTTCACTTGGCGGTGAGTATGTAGGACATTATGAGTATTTTCTGAACACCCCTCGTGAGTGAATTTTGTGAGGGTGAATCCATTTGTCCCTTTCAATTCCGATCTGTTTGCGACGCTGGTACAGAAGTCAAGGCCTGCTACCTTTCGTGGATAATAGCATCTCGTGGAATGTTCGCAGGATTTGCATGCATCGTTCGACTGGCTACATTTCGTGCACGCCCTGTGAACATTCCTGCGATTCAGTCATGTATTTCTGCACTGAAGGACATCCAAATGGCATATTTAAGATACGTGCATCCCGAGTTCGTCTTGAAGTCGAATCCTTTTGAAGTCAATGGAACTTCCCATAAAGATGTTCCTGGAATTCAATGGCTTCATTTGCGAAGTGCAAGGGATGTCCCATGATTGTTCTATCCCCTGTAGCAAGGGACGATCTCGTGGAATGTCCAGCATCCATCTCTCCATTCTCAAAGGCGAACCATGTTCGTGCATCGCAGGGATCACCTCTAAAGGTCTTTCAGATCCCACAACTGATGCGAGATGGCTCCTGATTCTTCCCTAAGCGAGTCACCCCCTGATGCGACTGATGTGAGTCCTCTGAACTATCCAATCTTTCCCACAAAAAAGTATACGGGGAGGACATTGGAATTCCTGAAAACATTTGTCTGAAGAAGTAAGAAACCATGGGAGACTTCATACGAGACTGGCGCAGAGGATGGGGAAGGGATTGTTCAACGATGGATTTCACTGCAATAATAGGCTTTGGATAACGATAGGCTTGACCATCTATACGCTTTGAAGAGAGATAAATTCCTCAGAGTAGAATGTTTGCTTCTAGAGGAATGTTATTCTGCAATGAAAAAAGAGATCAACCGAGAAAACTCGTCAGACAAGCTATTTCAGCGCGAGAAAAGAACCTGAAGGGCGGCACAAGATATCACAAAAGGATTCTATTTCTGTAGGATGCAACTAGGTCACGCAAAGAGACAGTCGTGGAAGAGTACTACTCGCTGGAGTACTCTCTCGGGTTTGATGCCGAATGAATCCGTGGGACGCACCCATGAGACGAAGGACACGCACCCACGCGACGAAGGACACGCACCCACGCGACGTCCCGGGGCCTTCTTCGAGACAGGGCATTTGACAGGCAGAATGTCCCCAGGCTTAATGCTGAACGAATCCATAGGTCTAGACGTAAATCCTACGATAGATTTTTATAAGACTTCCCCTGGATGCGGCGATGCTGAGGAGGGAGCTTTTCCAACGAAACTATGCGTAGACCAATATGTTCCCAACAACCTTTGGCAACCATGCCTAAATTAATTCTCCCAAAGCGAGGCTGTGAGCTATTATTCCAAAGAAATTTGGGGACCAAAAATGGGCAGTGGACTCCGCTAACAAGACCGCGCCTGCTTCCTCTAATGTGAGACAACGATTAAAGCTCAAATAACTGAGCAAACTGTGGTGGTGCATCACACATTAAAGGGGGAAAAATATTCATCAAAACCTTCCGAGAGAAAAGTCATTTCGAAGAATGCGTTTTACTGAAGTAACGACGGATGATTGTCAGTTTGTCATGGTCCAGATGAACGCAACCAGAATATGAAGTTCACTCGATTATTTGCACCCTCGAGTATCTATTTTCAATAGAAAACTTTTTTTGAATTATTGCTCGTCGCTCTGCCTCAGTACGACGCGTTTCAAAGAAATTTATCTTGGCAGTTTCTTGGAGACATATACGCTAATATACGTTGTAAGCTTAATGAAAAGAGCTGCAGGAAGAGCAGAGATGTAGGATTATCGAGAACCTGTCCGAGATACCATTCATTTTTCTTCTTTTTTTTCCCTGGAAAAGATAACTGCACCTCTAACGTACAAGAAATACCATTCTTTTTTGTTACATTGGGAATTGGGAATCTTTGACTCCTTTCTTTCGATCAAAGAATAAATTCCTTTTTTTTCGATTTATGCATATTCAAAGCGTGCGTTTCTCATTCGCTTCCGCCAGAGAGCGACACCAGCCAACATCGAGTTTATCGCGACTCTGCCACACATCTGACACAGTCGATGTTGGAACATTCAAGTCACGTTACTACCTCAACTTGCCTTTCCAGATCCGTTCCACGCCGAGAGCGCTTACTCATAACGGGAGGGAAGAAATTTCTCGTGCCAGCATGGGCAAGTACGGATTGGGTTGATGAAGGATTAATGACATGACAATGAAGCGTGAGAGAAAATCTGAAAAAAAGAGAGCTTTTCTCATTACTCGATTCCAGGAAAAGGGAGAATATTTTTCTTTCCCCCCCAAGGGTTAGGAAGAATAAAGACTTGAGAAAGAGATGGGGAAATGCATTATTTTTTGTTGCATCATTTTTGCTAGCAAATCCGGATTAACGGGAAGAATGGCTCGGGGGATTAGAAAATTCGTCCGCATAAACAGGAAACTACGCAATAACAGACATCCGGATTAAACGGAGAATTTTATTGGATTTACGAGATTTCTGCCGGAATACGAGTATTCCTCACGTCCGTAATATCAGGAGATCCGGATTACAGACTGGATTAACGAAAGTTCATTGAACTGATGAACCCACAAGAGGGAATGGAAAGATTTTCACTGAGTCTTCCCCGGGCTGCCACTAGTTTTTATTCCAAAACGCCTGCAAGTTTGCAGCGTTAACACGAACCAATGTGCAAAATGTGGGATTTGCTGCTCCTGTTGGCTAGTTTTTGCGAAGAAACCTCACGTTTTTCTTCGTGGGTACTTCATTGGGGTCTGTGGAATGTATAAAGGCTTAAATTGAGCCGATAGACGGAATTTCGGTTGACTTGAATGGTGCGTAGAGCTGGATGAAGTCTGCGATTCGCACCGCTTCTCCATCGCTGTGCAAATTCCTCTCGAACGGAGCAATTGTATTCATGGCATCGTTTCTTTCGCGTCACTCGATTCTATCTAAGGATTCTAAGCGAAACCTCGACTCTGCAATGACTGAGGGCTTCTAATGGCGCAATCCGGGCGCAGCCCTATTTCCATCATGCGGCGAAATGCACGCCAGGTCCCTGAAGGATGTATCTGTATCGACTCTTTTCACTGTATTCACCATAGCGCTCGTAATCACATTCAGTAGACTGTTTCCACCTTATCTCTCTTCCTACGCCACTTCGTAGAAGACACGGGATTGGCAAATGAAGCCGACTTGCAGTAGTCCGTCTCGGAACAAGCCCACCACCTAGCGGCAAGATAGCCAGTCGGGTGGCAGCGTGGGGTGTGCATCGATCATGGCGATCAGTGTGACTTCATTGCAGTATTCGGAGATGCTCGTGGAAGGCCTCACGTTAATAATGATTTAAAATAACCTTAGGCTTGAACGTAGTGCTACGCCTAGCTTAGCCTCTGACCCGGGGTGGGTTCTATCCTGTGATAGGACTAGGGTGCCAACCTGCAATACGACTTGAAGCCCACTGCTCAGTTTTACGCATTAGCACTTTTCCTGTTTTCAGGTCGATCTCATCCTGGCTCATCGGGAGGAATGTCAGAGTATGAGGTGGTAAGCAAGGGCTCTTTAAAGCTGAAAGGAGTTGGGGACATCGATATCAAAAAGTAAGCAGCCAAAATAGACTTTTGTCCAGGTTTGACAGTCTTAAGTTAGGCCTAGCTTTCAAGGTCAGACTTGCTCAGAAAGCATGATTTTTTTTTTCATGTAGCTTTGCTACAAATGTTGCATTCCTTTTTTTTTTCCAGGAAGAAAAAGAAAAAGCAAGAGAGGAAAATTTTGCAACAGGTGACTAAGCTGTCAGCTGCAGAAGATGATGTCCCTGCTGCTGTGAAGAAAGGGATGATTAAGACCAAGGCTGAACTTGCATTTGAGTCAATGCAGCAAAAGAGAGTGCGTCATGAATTTCTCTTATGTATAGCATGTAGGTTTATGCATAAGGTCATTTCCTCATCACTTGGTATGTTTTCAAGGCACCTTCTCATGCCTACTTAATATGGTCAGCCCAGTGTGGTCAACCCTTTCTAAAGCGCCCATCATGCCCAATGGCATGATGGTCTATCCAGAAAGGAGATTAATGATTGCCCATTAAAATATATGGATGATAGTTGTTTCATGCTTCTCTATTATCCTCATAGGGGGAATGGGCAACATTTAAACAATTTTTGGCATAGAAAACTCACTTCCAAGTTACATTCCGTGGGATTTATATCCTTCTCACTGATTAGGACTACTTTCACTCATCTCCCCCCCCACACAAAAAAAAAAATTAGACTAGATGTGGAAAATAACTTGAACAGAGTCAAATGTCTTTTTGGATGATATTTGATTCTTTCTTTTTGTTGTTTCAGAAAGCAGAGTTGATTAAGAAAAAAGCATCCAAGACCCATAAGCAGAGAGTGGAAGACTTCAATAGGCACTTGGACAACTTGACTGAGCACTTTGACATCCCCAAGGTTTCCTGGACCAAGTGAATTATGGAAGAGCAGGGGAGAATTGCATCTCACAAAATCATCCTTCCTCCTTATATATGCCGGAATCCGGAACTCCTGAAGGATATGTTGACTCCTGAAACCTTCAAAATGTTGAGTGAACCACATCAGATGAGACTTCGATCTCTTCTTCCTCAATTCCTTGAAGATGGTGATGAGGAACGGGAACGTTCTTTGACAATGGTCCTCCGCGGGGAAAACATTGCTTTTGGAAATCCCATCCAAGAAGTCATTGAAAGCATACGATGTGGTGATAATCAAGCAGAAATTCATCATGCTCGTAGACTATTGAGACAGGCCAAGTACAGGGAGTATTTCCTCAAGATCCAGAAGTACTATCAGAAACTTCTGGAAGAAGTGCTAGTGATGAGGAAAGACCTGCTTAGAGCTGCTATGGCTGGTGAGATGACAAGTGCTAAGCCTCTGAGACTCCGGAAGAAGAAAAAGAAGAAGCAGCGGCCAAATTTTGTATCACAACGTGCTAACAAACGCTACCTACGAGAACTCTCTCATTTGCAGCAAGAGTTTGGTGATGATTCCAGCAGTTCAAGTGAATAAAGCATAGTTTGAAAAAATGTGATCTGTTGAATTTTTTGGCGAACATATCTGGTAAAATACCCAGTGATGGACCACAGCACCTAAAAATTCCAACCACTAAGCTTCCATAGCATACCTTCCCCTATTGTGACAGATAGCAGCATACAAGCACCTACACACTTCAGGGGTGTTCATGTTACAAATACCTAGTTTTGACAATTTCCTGCACTGTTGCCCCCCACTGAGTACACACCCTTAACAAGCCAGCCCATCATTGGGTGTTTTACCCTATACTACTTATCTCCATACATTTGCATTTTAACACATTGATGCTGGGAACCATAATATTACTTTTTAAAACCCATATTGTTCTGCAGTCGCTGGGTGTGAATGTGTTAAGTAATGATGGCATATGTTACTTTATCCTTGAAATACCCAAGCATCATCTGTTCATGATCTAGCATCTTGGAGATGGTTGTCGAATAACTTGCATTGAGTTGGGGTTTCTCTTATTCTAAGTATAATCATGGTTAGTTATACTGTAATTATTTATATGGGCAATAGCAAATTCATTGTGGTGTTTGTTCACTGTTCGAAAATTGAAGGGTCACAAATATGACCCACTGGCGTTATGCAGATTCATGGGAATGCTGAACTTATAAGGCAATATTATTTCCGAGTTGTCTGACCCAAGACCTAGGAAACAATGGTATAGGGTGGGCCACAAAAAAGGTAAACATTTTAAAAAATTCATAACATGTTGATTATTGCAGATAGGAACAAACAGAAAATTGCATTTCCTGCAGAAACGCACAGCTTTTGTCCTGTTCACACAAGGTTTTCAAATTGTGCACCACTTTTCTCTACACAAATTCCAAATGCTCAAAAAAAGATTTTCCATTACTTCCTGGAGTGTTTCTTAATACTAGCAACAGTTTGGATGATTAAGTCCTTCAGTTCAACAACTGATCTAGGGTTTTTCTTGGGCACTTCTTAAAGTACCATTCTTAGAGTGTTCAAGAAGAAATCCTAAGTTAGATCTGAAAAACTTCACTATCCAAACTGTTGCTAGTATCAAAAAGTAAACACTGCAGAAAGTTATGCAAAACTCCTTTTGAGCATTTGCAAATATGTAGAGAAAAAGGGTGCATAGTTTGGAAACCTTGCATGGACAGGACAAAAACTTCAAGAGTTTTGGCAGGAAATGCAATTTTTGGTTTGTTTCTGTCTCCAATAATTAGTTTATGAATTTTTTTAATGTTTACCTTTTTATGGCCCACCCTGTATATGTAGTAGTGAGAATTCTAGTTTTCACAGAGTGTAATATTGTTTCTTGAATGTGAGATTTTGATTGCATTTAAAGTATCTGGTACTGCTCGGATTGAGTGTAAGTGATAATGCCTTGGCATTGCAATAGTTAACTTTGATTTTACATTACTATGAAGTGGTACCTGAAGTATATTATAAACACACATTTCACACTGCATCCTCTTAAAATACTCAGACTGCCATGCATATTCCATACCAAAGTGACTTTATCATTCATTTTCTTCTGTACATTCACATCCAAACAAGGGAAAGCCTACAATCCTCTTCTGAACACTTAAATAAACACATTAGCTCAAGGACAGACTATTGAGGATATTCCATACCAATGCAGAACAAAAAGACAGCCAGCAGAAAATTCAGTTGACAATAGTGCTGCTTTATTGAGATGAAAGGCCCATTGCTTGCAGAAGCTAGAATAATAAGGAACTATAAACTTTTAAGGAGTTGGCCCAATTTTGGCCTCAAAGCTGAATGAAGAAACATAAATCAAAAGGGTGTTCTTTGCTGAATTAAAAAATGCAATTCTTATTCAAATAGAGGTCATATCTTGTTACAATGAATAATTTTAGTACAACAAAAATATTTTCAAGACCCTGCCAAGTGCCCATAGTAAAGTACTTTACATATCTTGTTAGAATTAAAATTTCCTTGTAACAAGATTTTACCTGTATGAGCAATCTGAGTAGGGAGTGCCTTCACGAAAATAATTTGGGCAACCCAGAAAAAGTTCCCACCTTTACATGCAGATGGAATACCATGCAATGGATTAGCAATAAACTTTTTATAGGACATCACACTCAAAATATAGGTGGCTTCATAAAAGTTTGAATGAAATTGGATGTTTAGAACACGAGTAACCTCTTCCTGCTTATATGAGCAATTGTCAAAATGCTGAACCTGACTACATCCTCTCTTTGATTCAAAAGTGTAACATGGATGAAAAAAGTGGGAAATGAGAACTCTATGACACTGTTGTAATGCATTTCATGTGTCTTTTCCTACTTTTGCTTATTTTTTGCAAAAAATTGGAGGGGGGGGGAGGGGAGATACTGGAACCCCTTGGCCTCCCTGAGGCTATGCCATTACCTAGGTTGGACTCTCTATAGTCCCATCCAGCAAAGCATGCAGGTGCAGACAGACATGCACAATCATTGAACATGTTGAAAAATGCTTTTACATCTTATATGAATAATTTCATTTTAAAAAAAACTCATGAAATGGCTTGTGTCCTGTAGGTTTCTTGCTTATACATTATACAGTAATTTTGCCTACACTGATATAAAGTTTGAACTTTTCTTGGGCTACCACAGGGGTATTCACATACTGACACCTAGATCTTTTTAAGCTCTTCATAATTTAATAAAGAATTGCATATTTAGAGTTCAGCAAAGGATACCCTATGAATACATATGTTTAATCAATTGTGATTTTGAAGCCAAAACCTGTCAGTGGTACCCAACCTTTAGGCCACAGCCAGGGTGGATGTGGGGTTTTGTTTTTGGTTACCTAGGGCCCAGGACACAAGAAACATATGCTTATTATTGCTTTTGCACCTGTACATTTTTGCATCAGGCAGCAACCTGATTGCAAATCCTGATTGATTTGTGGATTGCAGTTTTGAATATGCAAAATATGGGCCACCCAGTCAAAAGGGTTGGGAACAGCTGTCCTATGTTTTGAGCCAACATGTAGAAATGGATCTGAATAGCAAGACTGCACAGTGCTAACAGTGAAACATGAACAAAATTTTTCACAGGCCCTGAGCTTGAACAGCGAGATACAAGCGTCAAATGAGAATAGGTATGCAAACCAGGACAGGTACTAGTGATGAGGATCCCTGAGCACATCTCCAGAGGGGAACCATCATTTCATTTTAGGAAGATAAATCATACAATAAATAAAGTAAACAGTATCATGAGAAAGAAATCAAAAGTGTGCATATATTTTCATCACATGGATAGAAATTCAATACCAAAGTTGTGCCACTGGGTGCCAATTGAAATGTGCTTGTGATTGTGAATGACACTAAGAAGGCAAACCTAAGCCTTCTTAGTGTCATTTGCTTCACATTGCAAAATCAACACTATAGTGCTTTTAATGATCAAAACTGACAGCATTATCCCCACAAAAATATTTTTGCATGCAGAAAAAGAGTGAGAGTGAGGTGCAGATATTGTACTGTAATTGCTTTCAGAAGTTTGTTGTCAGCAAACACATCAAACATGTTCTGATTAACATTCCATTTGTACAACTTTGGTACTGAAATGACATCCATATGTTCAGTAAATCTCAGTTTCTGCACTCATGATTCTCACAACACACAGCCCCATGTAATTTAAAAGATTACCTGAACTGAAATGAAATACAATTTGTTCAGTCCAGGTACAAACCACTAAAAGACATGAGGAAGACCTGGCACTCCAGAGTGCATTCAATATTCATTAAATAACAACTGTTCATTATGAGAATCACAATACTGAGAAAAACTGCGCAACAGCTTGAATGAAATAACCCCCCCTCCAAAAAAAAAAAAAAAACTCACTTCATCAGAAACATTTTTTAGCATGCTTAGGGTAAAATACCCAGTGATGGGCCACAGGACATAAAATCCCAACAGCTAAGCTTCCATGGCACACATGCCCCTGACATAGACTTGCAGCATGGAAGCATATACACACTTTAATGGTGTACATGCTACAAATGCATAGTTTTTGGAATTTTCCTGAGCTGTGGCCCATCACTGAGTACACACCCTTAACAGGCCCATCATTGAGTGTTTTACCATATGTACTTGACTAGCATGTCTTCATCACAATTGCTTCTCCTTCTACAACTCATCTAATAATAACATTTGAATGTTCTTCCATATGGAATAATTTGAAAGCATGTTTTGAATGGACGGAATAATTGCTAAGTAAAACATCAAACATATAGACAACTGGCAATGGGAACACAACAAAGAAATACTGAATGATTGAGGAAGGGCGGAAGAAAGAGGGCAAAATCATAGCTGTTCAATAATGATGACCAGAGGAACAGCTGGAGCCATTGCTGGATGAGTCTGGCCAGACTGGCTTTCCTGATGAACGATGACTCCTTCCTGGTCCCACCTCAGTCAAATATGATGAAGAGGATGAACTGGAACGACAAAAAATACAACTGCAACCCCTTTGACACCACAAAAGATGAATTCATGAAGGGAAAACAATACCTGGAAGGAGAATGCGGTTCGTGAAGGATGCGGGTGGTTCCACTTCGGAATCGGTGTCCAGGGTACCGCTCACCAAAATACTCCTCATACAGAGTGCAGATGCGACAGAGTTCCCTGTCGTGTAGAACTTGGCTTTTGTACGGACCTAGACAAGAAGCCCTTATCCCCTCATTCGTCTTGCACAAAATTACTGAGGTCTGCATCAATAGATATTTTCATCCATCCATTCATGAATTTAGTCAACCTAACTCAAGTAAGTCACAAATAAATTACGTAACAACTTCTTCTGCTACAGCTGACCCATGTAAAGTGAAATTGCTCCAGAGTAGCTCATAATATTTAGAAATAGCCATTCCCCAATGAGGCAGTCTTTACCTCCATCTGGTTGTACTTCTGAAGCAATTCATTCAACTTCAGTCACCTGGGTTCTGTCAAACCTATTCCCTGATTTGTGAAAATGCACAAGATTGGTGTTACCAGAATTTGCCCATGGAGGGGTTGGATGTATTCTGATGGCCCTTTTTTTTATAGCATCTCTCCGCTTCAGTGTTGGAAGGACTTCCATGGAGCGACTCCGTCCCTTCTTGCCCCAAGGTTCACATGCATCACATGTGTGGGTAAGGGACTGGAAGCTCTGACTGCGCTTTATGCCGCTCCCTTGCAAGGAAGTGCCCGAAAGGGAGAAGATGTCAGTGGGCACCTTCCGCACTACAAAGGGGGGTCTTGCCTTCAAGGTGCTCTCTATGCGATGCACTGGACTTGCACTCCTTCCCTGCCTCTGAGACACATTATTGCAAAGACACCTTTTACCCACTGAATAAGGTAAAGTGATATTGATGAAGCACTGGAATACAGTTCAATCTTTTCAATACAGAAACAAGTTATCATCACGAGCTCTCACCCTATGCCGGGAGTTGGAGAGAGAATGAATGAGTCGAACAGGAGAGGTAACCTTCATTGATTTTGCCCTTGAGGAAGAATCAACATATAGAGGCTGCACAGTGGCCCTGGTGATCAAGTGCATTGATGGTGCCTCATTCATCTGTACATAGAGGGGAAAAGCATGTGGTATTTTCAGTATGAGATCTTCAGCATACCTGACATACTAAGGACAAGCCAGCCATACACTGAAAGGCCCCAATGGAATGAGCTTGAGACGAAGAGTTTCTTCAACTTCTCGATAAGGGGAATCCCAGAAAGGAGTCAGCACCTCAGAACCTTTCAGATCCAGATATGCCAGACAAGAACTTTCCCATCGTCCTGTTTCATGCAATTCTATTCGCAGTCGAGACCTGTTCAAATACTCAATCCCAACATATAGCTCCTTTGCTCCTCTCAGCAACTAGAAAAAAAAAGGGTTAATTTCAGGAACCATGGATTTGCATCCCATGAATTAAAATGACTGAAGGAGATTGTGAAACAAACCTCTCTAAAGATGAGTGTCTCACAGAACACAAGGGGAAAGATGGGAGTTACAGGTACAGTACTGGCTGACTGACCCAAAAATTTCATAAGAATATACAGAGGCTTCCGAGGAGAGAACTGCCTCTTTCGGCAGCAGACCTAGAGAGAGAAAAAAAGAGCACTGCTTAGCATAACTCCATTGCATATTGTTTCCAAGAATCTAAGCCATGACAAGTCCCACCTGAAGAACTTCAAACTCAGCCGTCACTACTACGGCCTTGATGTGGCGATGTGATTTCTTGAATGGCACAGTCATGGAAGACACCACCTTCATAAAGGATAAGCATAATGGTTCTTAAGTACTGGGTAGCCTACTTGATGCCTATTACAAGTTAAGTGGATAAAAAAGGAGGAAATTCTTCAAACCTTGTCTCTCCTAGATCTCCTTATTTCTCTTACTGCAGGTGACCATCCAATTGTGCTGAGCCAAACATTCACCAGACATTCAGGAGAGAGAGTTGTCTGTCAAGAAATCAAGGTCAGTTTGTTGGACCTCAAAAGAAAATTCTCATAATAATTGAAAAGTTTTCTCACGGGGAGATGAAATGTAGGCCGCATGAGTAGCTTCAAGCGTCCTTCAGAAGTTGTTGGAGGATACATGGGGTCGTATTCATGATGACAAGCTGCAAATATATCCCATACATTCCCTTCGTGTTCAGCAAGGACCTTTGAATGAGCCCCAATGCTTCTTTGTAGTAGTTCCACTGTGACAGGCTCAGCAAGAAGTTTTCTCTCGAATTCTCTCCAATCCTGGAGTCCATCAAATCTCTTCGTGGGGCAGAAAATGGGGAGACAATGTTATTGGACATGACACAGCAAAGTCAGATCTCTGGCTCTGCCTAGCTTGACTCTGACTCACCCTTGAAAATCTGAACCTCTCTCTGAAAACCAGAGGAAAAACAGAGGCAACCTGCCCAGAACGGACTTCGTTACCGAACACGAAAAGTCTGAGAAAACAACTCTCTCTATCGGGCAGTCGAACACCGGGGCAATCGATTATATCAACCTCCACTTCAACACAGACTTCCGCCGATGGAATGGCCATTGCGAGAGGATAGGAAAAGGGCCCTTATACAAGGGCCCCAGAACCTGAATATCATTCACGAGTTCCCGACAGGGATGGGAGAAGCCCCCTGTGTGAATTATCGATAGGCCAGGGACCAGGTGCGTCTATCCACATGCTCTGTGCTTGGAGAACGCCATGCTCTCGTGTCGTCATCGGTGTCGTCTGCTGAAAAATTTCTCTGCATTTCTTGCTGGTCTTTGGTTGACGTACGGTACGTCATGCTGATCAAAGCATCCCTTAGTGGATCGACCGTAATGCAATCAGCACAGTCCAAATCCACTACTTGGAAGAAGTAAATTCCTGGGAATAGCATATTTCAAGCGGTCTGGCTCCCACCAAATCTTAGCTGCCAAGACGAATCGTTATTTTTTTTTAATTGGGACGAAGCCCTGCTCGAAATTTCTCTCTCTCTCTCTCTCTCTTCCCCCCCCCCCCATCGTAATGCCACGCAGCATTAGCATAAGCTTTCTCCAATCGTAGGAGTAGGATGCGAGAGTATGGGGGCTATGCCTACTAATTCCCTCACGTAATGTATGACACTGCTCGACTGATCTAGGGAGACGAGGAAAATCTTCGCAGCGAATTGCGGAGAAACTGAATTGCCAGAGAACAGAGGCACGACAGGACAGGGACTGAATGGGAGTCCATTTGAGAGAAGCGTCATCTTCTCCTAAGCATGCACCGTCACGCGTTCCGACGATAACCGAAAATTCCCCCCGAAAACTCGCAACCCAAACATTACCATACTTTACAACGCTGTTTTCACTTTGCGCTTGAATCCCAAGACTATTCACATCCGCTATTTGATCCATCTGTGAACTTCGCATTTTCCCCGCCCACCTTTGATAACTTTCAAGAGACAGGCGAACCTAAAGGATATACTCGTTTGCTCGCCGATGCTTGGGAAATTTTCTCTTCGCTCACTTCTTTTCAACTTGCAAGAAATGACTCCAACAGGATTTATCAGAGACCGGTGGATCCTCCAGCGAACGTCTTAAATAATAAATCCACTACGCTCGACTGAAGCGCAATCAACTCATCGGCATACATTTAAACTTTAATAACCACACTCACGAAGATCATGCCATCTTTCCCAGAGAGAGAGATAGAGAGTAAAACTCCCCGACCCACTGTACCGTACGAGACGCGGAGGATTTTGGATCAATAATCCGGAACCTACAAGGAACTCATAAATATACCCTTGCTCTCTCTTCTCTTTCTCATCCTGCCTTCCTTAGTCTCCATTGCATTTTCTTGCTCTGAGTGAAGTATCTGCTTCTGGACAGGGCTTATTATTTATTTATTTATTTCACTCCCTTGCTTTACTTACGTTTTACTTCTTTTTCCCTCTCCTCTATTCTACTCACGTTTTATTCCTTATGTTGTTTTATCATTTAATATTTTTCTCTTCTTTTCCAATGGTAGGTCACCCTGAAAAAGAGGACAAAGTGTCCATGAAACGTCAACTCTAATAATACTATTAATATTAATGAATAAGTTGACTGGAGGTGCCTGCTTGGTTCTTATTTTGCTTGACACTTCTGGCGCCCCTGTATCCATGCAGATCCCAGTCCATCGGAGTGTGGCGGTTATGGGCATGACCTTGAGCATTCTCGTCAATTTGAGAGCTTCGCTCGGTCCGCTCTAGATGGCTCCCATCGGGGAAACAGACCTCGCTCATCAAATAGACGACCGGACCGCAGGGAGCTCATTTATTTCCATCTCCGCCCTAAGCCTTCCTTCGACCGAATTCAACGCTCGCGAGATTTAGGAATTCCCAAGATGGTGAAGTCGAGAAGAGGGCAGAAAGCGGTTCGGGTCGAGGATCGCTGCACCTCGCACGGGATTTTCCCTTCAATCGCGATTGCGAACTCCAGAAAGTTTTGTGAATCGTTGGAGACGCGGATCGAGTCGTTTACAGGGATGGGGATTAATGTCCAGCCGCTCTGTCCGTTTCTGAAAGTCGTTTCGGCCTTGCAGGTGGGCCGAGAAGGCATCAGCTGCTGTGTTGATCCGGGCATCAGCTGGGGGTATTCGGGCCCCGCCATCGCAGAAATTGAGCATCTCCGATGCTCATGAGTATATAGCTATACTTATGCGTCTTCGCACGAAAGAGGGAATGCCTGTTCTCATTTCACCTGAACCTAATATTCGTCAAAGCGTGATGCTGCTAGTTAGTTTGCCTGCCTGGTAGATCCTCATAGCATAGACACCGACAGATCGAGGCTTCTATAGTTCAATGATGATAAAAGTTGCCAAAGAATCGCACGACCTCAACCTTGAACTTTTTAATGCGATTCCCAGTTTAAGTTCCGTTACTTAATTCATTTGACCTCTCACGATGACAAAATGCACTGCAGTATAATCACGATTCACCACATGATTCCAATTAAAAAATTATTAGTCTCGATTTGAAAGACTCGCCTGAATGACTTACGCTTTCCTACGTCTGGTCAAAGCAATCCTGATGTCATCGCAAAGATTAAAGGCACCCGATTCCAAGGAAAGGACACCTCACGCTGGAGTGGAACAAAAGCTAAATGAAGAGTAGTCGACTGCCCTGGGCCGCCGATACTCCTCTGCCACAATTGTCATGTGTTTAGCGTAAGTACTTGTCAAGGTAGTTGGGACATGGGTATGACCTCATGATCTGAAGGTCGACTTCCAACTTCCCATCGGACGAAAGCGACCTACTATTTTAACAAAAGCTGGCTTCTTTTGACTTCCTACCTCCCCCCCCTAAAAAAAATATTTAGGAACTGGGCCTTAAGGTACTCTTTGAATACGATTCTACGTCTCTACTTCGTTGAACACGAATCCTGCAGGTATATCGACTGTAGTTTCATGGCATTCGCATCCTCGGCATGGCAACCTCCTCGACCGAGAATAATGCCCATGAATAGCAAGAGATGTTCATGGGAAGAGGGCAAGGACGCGGAGGAGGAAGAGGAGAAATCGATGGGGCGAGTGTTGCGGGTGCGACAAGACTCCTCCATTAAAACGGGGCTTTCATTCTCATTCTTTGCTCTCTCTGCAGTCTACATCGGAGCGAGTGCACCGCATTGATTGCGTTCTCTTATCGAGGAGAAACGTAATTACCGCCAGGAAGCGGAAGGGAAAGGGTTTCCTTTCCTCCTCTGCGTGTCTGATACAATAAAACGACCGCTAGATTCCTACCGTCGCCAAATGCGCTTTATTACCCTCATCTTGACAAGAACGATAGAATCCTCACGGTAGAGGGGTAACTATGGTTCAACCACACTATGTGTCCTACGTTTCGTCTCGAAATTCATGAATTGCATCCACAAAGGTCTTTTCGACTCGGAAACATCGCAAAAACGGGGAATGCAACAGTGACCCAGAGATCCGAACAGGTTTCGTACACTCACACAGCATCCTTTAGAAGCAACTCTATACATTCTATAATATACCATTTCAAGCAAGATCTGCACACTCCTGTGCCTTCTCGAGTCGATTCAGTTCCTTCTTGTCACGTGAAAGCTCCTCACGCCATCCCGCATCGTAAGAAATCAAACTAATTGAAAATTTTAAAACGATCTGAACAACCGTGCAATCGAGAAATTGAAAATTACGACTATTGCAATTGACAGCTTAAATGACGGCAACAAATGGGAAATGGCGCTGAAAAATGATAGCGAGCTGTCAAGGGGGAATAAGGGACTGTACCGACTTTAGAAAGCGTCGGGAGTGGTAAGCGTTATTTCTATTTGGAATATTACCGTGCGTATATCTTTCATCAAGAACATGGCTTTATACAATCGCAAAACTTCGAAAAGAGACCCAGAAGACGAGTTGGGATCCCACAGATCCGGCGGTCGATCCACGTCCACTTTCTTTTCTTTTTCCTTCGATTTCCTCAAAGCATTTCTAGGAGATTTCCGCTTAGGGCGCCTCGGTCGCTCGTTTCCTCCTGATATGTTGCCTTCTTCGAAAGAACATCGAACAACTCTGGGGAATCTTTACGTTCAAAACACTGAGCAGAGAGACAGATAGGAGTTGGAACACTTTTCCACACGAACAGGAAAAATACAAGACGTTATTGCTAAGGAATACGTCTGGATCTACCGCGAGCCAATTGCACAATCGACACGTGACCGAACGAACAGTAGAAAAAAAAGGTACACAATATTATTAGGTACTGTACATATCGATGACATGGAAGACCAGTCAAGTGCAGTGAGCAGTACAACAATTGCACTTGCCATATTCAGGAAGACTTCGGTTGGGGGAACACCGATGGAAGACGTGTTGCATCATCACGAATATTTACAGTGTTTCCAGGAGCAACTCATATCTACTTGTGACAGTCGCGGCTTGCATCACAGCCGGAGAAGTTCTAACACGACAACAACAACAATTGTCAACGAACACTGGCGCGACGCGTGGAACCTCGAGTATGAAGACGGAAAACGGCATTCAGTATCAGAGGGACTAAAGGAGACATGATGAAAAATCCTTGTTCTATCTATACCCGTCATCTTCCCGGGTGGTACGGATACAAATTGTTTGCCATACGAGTACCTTCGTTTCGCGAGAAGAGAGGGTGACGTCACTTCGGACCGGCCGTCTTATAGAGAAGCGAATTTTCTTTTCCCTCTTCTGCTGTGTGCTGAGACGCTGGAGCTAGCACTGGTCGCACAGGTAGGGTGAAATACCGTTTGGGAAAAAAAACGCCCTCAGGAAATGTCTAGATGGGCGAGAAACGAGTTCATACGGCAGTGGCCTGAACATCCCCACTCTTGTTCCTCAGAGCTTCCACGTCCACATCGGGACGACAGATCTCTCGCATTTTCTATGAATCAGACACGAACAATTTTTTTTTTTTTTGCCTGGAAGGAAAATAAGTTGAGAAGTGAAAAAAGGGAGGCGCTGACCTGAAGGAAGGGCATCTTGGGCGTGATCCAGTAGTAATAGATGAAATAAGCAGGGATGCAAAGCATGGAGCTGAGGGCCATGAGCCACCCGATCAGGTGCCCCCACCAGGGGTACTCATACGTCATGTACTTCACCGGTTTCCATTTCGCCCAACCGAACACCAAGACCCCCTGATGTCAAATGCAGGAATACCTTTCAGTTCCTGTTAGCCCTGAATCGACTTGTTGCTCCACCGTGGAAGTCACAGAGCTTGAGTGCGACTTCGACAGTGGATGTGCCATCTGATTGGTTCCTTCGGAGGTTGACCTGGGAAGTGACCAATCAAATCGCTCGCCTTTATAGGCGTTATTCCCGATCGGTTTCATTGGCAGCTGAGGCACGAAACAACCAATCAGATGGCTCGTTTAAGTCCCGTCACCTCAGCCTCCTGCAACCCATTCCTTATTGATACGTATAAAGAAGAAGCCGGACCGAGTCCAGTCCGGAAGCAAACCCTTCAAATGTGCACGGTAGGTGCTTTCACTTCCAATTCGAATGATATAGGTCTATGGGGGGGGGGGGGGGGGGGGGGGGGGGGGGG